AAGAAGTCAGCTGACGAGTGGACTCCAAGCCCAGTGTCTCAAACACCCAGGGCCCTGGGGTGGAGGGACGGAGGCTGCCACCTTCTCCCTGTTGTGGAGGAGGCAGAGGGAGATATACCGTCTTTGACTTGAGAACCCTGGACTGTTAGGATCAGTCAGCTTGAGCTGGTCCCGTTCCAGTCTGGCTCTTCTGTTGCTCATTGTCAACAAATGATGGTGAGAGAGCTGGACTTGGCAGCATCTGCCATCCTGCCCAGCACCGAGGAGGCCCTGAGGGATATTTGTGAATGGCATGGATTAATGGGTTTGGCCTCAGCCAGGGCTCATATGTCCATCATAGTCTTAGCTCTAATTCTCCACCTTTGAAGCACCCTGTCTACACCCCATCCCTAAATATCCTTATGCCAAAACCCTCCTACCTTTTGGGGTTTCCTGGATGGACTTTACCTCTTTTTGTGGTCAAAAGTCAGCTCTTCCTGGCTAAACACATCCTTTTTTCCCCTTCTCCCTTCCCACTATCTTTCCTCTCTTTCTTGCTTGATCTTTGCTCTTTTTCTCCCTTCTCCTCCCCCCCCCCCCATTTTCATTATGGAAAAATTCAAGCCTACACAGAATTAGAGAGAATAATAGTGTAATGCTTTTCTAGTGCCCCACTCCCAGCCCCAGCAACTCTCAGTCACGGCCATTCAGTAATCATATATGTGCCTTAGCCCCAGATTTTTGAAATATCTCTAAATATTTTAGTATATCAAAAAAGCAATGTGCTTTTAAAAAATTACTAAAATATCATTATCACACCTACAAAAATTAACAATTCCTTAATATAAAATATTCAGTCAGTTTTCAGTGTCCAGGCTTAGTATTCAAATTTCTAATAATCTTATAAATGTGATTAAAAAAATAATTTATTTGAATTAGAATCCAAAAAAGTCTTTACATGGCAGTAGGTTGACATGTCTCCTAGGTCTCTTAATGAAGGTTTCCTTTCCATCTTTTTTTTTTTCCCTTTAAAATAGGTCACTTATCTCTCTCTTTCAAGATTTTGCTGATTACATCCCTGCGATATTGTCGAAACATGTTGCTTTGATCATTGCTTTTTCTGTAAATTGGTAGTTGGATTCCAGTTCGATTTAGGTGGTGTCACACACTTCCATCAGGAGGCAGTTGGGGTCTGGTTGTCTGTCTTTCTGTGCCCTTAGGAGGCACTGAGGGTCATTGTAATGGACATTGTTTATGTCCATTACATCATCAAGGACTGCAGGATGGTGACGTTCTAATCCCATCATTCCTTCTTCATTTATTGGCTGGATCGCTCCTTAAAGAGACCCTCCCCCTCACCATTGCTTGCCGTGAGTTACAGTTTGTATGGGAAAGACAGGCTAACTGCTTGGTTCTTTCCCTTTATTTATTAGTTTTCATAATAATAACTTGGTTCACTAGTGTCCTCCAATAATGACTAGTTACTTTTTTACCATAATTTTTGCCTTCCTGGGTTGAAACGTGTTTGATGTATTTATCATTCTCATCAGTGCTCATCTTGTTTCATTTTTGGCTGTGAAAGCCTCTTCAGATTGGCTCCCGAGTTCTTTGATGTGACCTAGTAAAGTCTTTGATAGCTTCTTTGCTTCCAGGTATCACAAGCTATTCCAGGCTCAGCTTACACAATTCCTGGCATTTCTCCAAGGGTCCTGATTCCTTTTAATGGAAAATGGAATTGAAATACCACAACCTAGGTGCTACGGGTGCCCACGGTTAATTGGACAGAATTAGAAGATTTTTGTTTTATTATTCATATATCGTGAGTGATACCTCATAGTGATACTTAAAAATTCAAATTCAGGATTATAGGGTGTTTGCCAACTATCTTCAGTTTTATATCATTTTCTCCTTTTTCAATCATGTGGAGAACCCCAGCCCTGAACAACACTTAGAATGATGGAATTAGAGTATTCCTTATTACTTGGTGTTGCTGCTGAAAAGATTAATGATAGTCTAATTTTCTTTTATGAAGACTTAATTTTTGCATAGCTACTCAAAGAATTTTTTTTCTTTTCCTTTAAAATCCAAGAAATTCACCAGATTAAGTCTTGGAGTAGGTCTTTTGGGGTTAGGAGTTGATATTCTTAGGTACCCGATGTGTTCTTTCAATAATGTAATTTTTTTTAAGGGAAGTTCTTTTAAATGTAGTTTTGATATTTGTTCTGTACCCTTGCTTTGACTTTTCTTCCTAGGGACTTGTTATCCATCCTAATGTGTCTTTGCCTTACTTCCAAATTTATCACTTCCTCTGGAATCCTTTTTATCTCTTTATTCATTTATTTTTAAGAGCTTTATTGAAGTTTAATTTATATGCCATAAAATTCACCAACTGTAAGTGTATAAATCAATGAATTTTAGTAAATTTGTAGAGTTATGCAGTCATCACCACAGCCTAATTTTAAAATATTTCCCCACTCCAAAAAGATCCCTCGTGCTGTTTGCAGTCAGTCTGCTCCCACCCCATACTTGCCAGGCAACCACTGATCTTTCTATCTCTGTAGATTTTTGTTTTATGAACATTTCCTATAAATGAAAGAATATAATTTATAGTCTTTTATATTTAGCAGAATGTTTTTGAGGTTCATTCATGCTGTAGCATGTATCAGTATTTCATTCGTTTTTGTGGCTGAATGATATAGGCTATTGTATCGATGGACCACATTTTGCTTATCCTTTTTTCAGTTGATGGATATTTGAGTTGCTTTTGCTCTTTTGCTGTTATGAAGAATGCTGCTTGTTATGACTATTTGCATCACACCTTTGTTTGGACATGTTTTCCTTCCTCTTGGGTCAATACGTAAGAGTGCAGTTGCTTGGGCCAGCCGAGTGGCGTGTTGGTTAGGAGTTGGCTTGGGACACCAGCTCTGAGCAGCAGGGCCCCGGTTTGGATCCCACATATGAGGGCCAGTGACGATGCGCCCTCTACAGCTAAGATGGTGAACAACAGCTCGTCCTGGAGCTGGGCTGCTGTGAGTCGCTGGCGACAGCGTAGGCTGCAGTGGGGCTGGCTGGCAGCTGGCTTGCGCTTTCGTGAGCTGCCGTGAGCCACCGTGAATGGCTGTCTAATGGCCAGCGAGTGACTGCCTCACCCAGGAAGAGCGCAATGATAATATCAACATGGGCCAGTGAAGCGACGTCCTCCACTATCATGTCACGCGTGACAAGGGCTGGGGAGGGGTGGCGAAGGGTTAAGAAATCACAAGAGTCATAAGTAGAGTTTCTGCGGGCCAGGGGTCTAGTCTCTGCAGACTGAGAGTGAGCCCTGATACTGGCAGGCGAATAACTTTTATTTACAACTGTCACAAAGAAGTCAATTTGAATATCTATACCCAGTTAATTGATTCGATTAGACTGGCAGCTGCTTCACCGAAACTCATTGTGATCAAGCACAAGTTGTGCTTTCACACATACATATGACCATCCAGAGACCACCGGATAAGGAAGTTTTACCGAGATCATTCCCTCGGGTCTCAGCATTCCAAGACACTTCCTTGTGACTTCAAAGGATCAGTGCGCAGGAGCATTCGAGTGGGCAGCTGCAAAGTGACATTCCACAACTAGACTGAAGAACAAAAGGACAGCAACTTGTCTGTTCCTCTTCCCCGATTCCCCAACGCTGTTCCCTTCCCCCAATTCCCCAATAAAATCTTTAAAAAAAAAAAGAAAAAAGAAAAAACAAGAGTGGAGTTGCTGTATTATTAATATATGGTAAGCTTATGTTTAACTTTTCAGGGAACTGCCAAATGATTTCCAAATTGGCCAGACCATTTTACATTCCTCCTAGCAATATATGAGATTCCAGGTTTTCCACATCCTCGCCAACCCTTGTTATCAGCTGTAATTTTGATTATAGCTGCTCTAGTGAGTGATATCTATCTGGTGGTGGTTTTTTGTTTGTTTGTTTTGTTTTAAGGAGGGCCGCACCTCACAGTGACCCATGTGGGAATCCAACTGGCAACCTTGGTGTTATCAGCACCACACTCTAAATCTCGTTGTGGTTTTAATTTGCATTTTCCTAAGGACTCATGATCTTGAGCATCTTTTCATGTGCTTGTCAGCCATTTGTATATCTTGTTTGATGAAATAACTGTTTAAATTTTTTGCCCATTTAAAAAAATTGTGGGTTTTTTGTCTTGGTGAATGGTGAGATTTCTTTATACATCCTAGATAGAAGTCCTTTACCAGATATATGATTTACAAATATTTTTTCCCCCAGTCTGTGTTTTGTCTTTTAGTTTTACTAATGGTGCCTTTTGAAGTACCAAAGATTTAAATTTTGATGAAATTCAGTTTATACTTAGAAATATAAGTATCTTTTTTCAGAAGAGTTTCATTCTCTGTAACATTCACGTGTGAATTATCCTTACTTTTTTTTTTTTTTTTTTTTAAGCTGAGCCATTCTGCCACCAGTTGGCAGCTCAGCGGCTGCTCAGCTTGGGCCAGGAATTGAACCTCTGTTGCTCAGAGCTCAAACTCTTGAGCGAGCTCTTAACCAACTGAGCCACTTGGCCGGCCCTTCCTGCTTACTTTTTTTTATTTTTGATATCCACCGTCTACTTGCTGAAGGTATTTTCACTAAGGAATCTGCACAGCAGTCAGAATGGATGGGTGGGTCTGTGCTGTGTGGAATAGTCTAGATACTGTCTAGAATAATATCTAAAACATCAACACTGACTATCTTTCTACTCAAGAAGCAGGGCTGTTGGCTTTTGAGAGCAGGATCTTATTCCGTCACTCGTGGTCCTACGAGCTGTGGGCACCTGCTTCCCAGGATACCGCCCGTTTCTCTGGCTGGAGCTGTTGCTGGCCTTCGGATCCGAGGAACCAGTGGCTCTTAACTTTCAGCACCACGCCTTGCAAGTGGGCTGCTGCTTTGAATGTGGTGAAAGGTCAAGTGCATGATACACCACCCTCCAGTTTTGAAAAGGCTTGGGTAACATATTCTCACTTGGCAATTGCAGGTGAAGGACTTAACGAAATACTTGGATCCCAGTGGGCTCGGCGTGATCAGTTTTGAAGACTTCTACCGAGGGATCGAGGCGATCAGAAATGGAGGTCAGTCATCCCCGCTCCTTCCTCAGCCCCAGCACTGGCCTCCCCTCTCCTTCAGCCACCCTTCCCAAGGACCCAACTCCTCAGGCTCCTTCTGTTGAACTTAACATCTTCCCTTCTCTTTGAAGCCCCTACAGTGCCCCAGGTTTTTATCTTTTTTTTTTTTTTTTAGCTGAGCCATCCCGCCACCTGTTGGCAGCTCAGCGGCTGCTCAGCTCGGGCTGACTCGAACCACTGTTGCTCAGAGCTCAAACTCTTGAGCGAGCTCTTAACCAACTGAGCCACTCAGCCGGCCCGCCCCAGGTTTTTAGAATGCATTCTCTCCTTTCTTGTTCTTTGCTCCTCACACAGCCTGTCTTCCAGAACTGACTGACTCAGCTCCTTATCCATAATGTTAGAAGGCTACTGCCACTTTCCCCAAAGTGTTTTTAATGACGACTTTCAAACATACAGAAATATTGAGAGACTCACACAGTGAACAGTGACAGTGTTCCTTTCACCTGTGTGCTACAGGCAACATTTTTCTGTATCTGTGTTAGCCATCCATCCTCCTGTCTGTCTAACACTCCATTCTCTTTTTTCTAGTAGGATGCCTTTCAAGTCAGCAGACTTCCATACACTTCACCCGAAACACTTCAGCACGTGTATCAATCATTTGTTTTGCAGTCTTTTTTTGAGTAAAAATTTACCTACAGTGGAATGCACAAATATTACGTGTGCCATTCTGTGAATTTTGATAAATTCTTAGGCCTGGTAATACAAATCCCTATCAAGTGTATTAGCATCTCTGCAGACAGTTTCCTCACGTCCTTCCAGACATACCCTCCCTCCTTTCGATACCTCCTTTCTTGTCGCCATAGATTAGCTTTGCCTCTCGTGGACTTCATATAAATAAAATCGTCAGTACTTGCTCTTGCGTCTGGCTTCTCCTTGCATGTGATGTTTCTGAAGCTCACCCGTGTTGTTTCAAGTATCATGAGGCTGCTTTTCTTTTGTGGGGTAGCGCTCCCTCGAATTCCTGTAACACAGGCTTGCCCACTCCCCAGGGGTGGACACTTGTTTGGGACTAGGATAGTTCCAGTTTGGGGCTATTATGAAGAAAGCTTCTATTGACATCTGTGTCCACGTCTGTGTAGACACATGTTTTCATGTCCTCGGGGCCTTTACCTGGCAGTGCGGTGGCTGGTCATGTGCATATGAGCTTAGTTCCTTACAGAACTGTCAGACGTCCTTCCAAATGGTTGTACTAGTTTACTGTCTCACCAGTTGCTCATACACTGCCCTCTTCAAATGAAACCCTGAAGCTCTGAGTAAATCTTTCCTTCTCATTCCCCATCTTCAGCCAGGTGGTGCAGGTAGGGGTGATGGTGGTGAAAAGTCACCAGTCACAGGCTTTTCTCCTCCTTCCTGCACTTCTGCAGAGAAAGCGGGGCATAAACAGACTCGGCAGGGCCCGTGGTCATTGTGGTGGCCTGGTTGCGGGGTGCCCTTGAAGCTGAGGTCCTACCAGCAATTGTTGGTAGAGTCATCTGTCTTGTCTGTCACCTCCCCAAAATTATTGCTCCACGGTGTCACATAGACGCTGGGTTTCCTGAAACACTGGGTAGCGTTCTGTGGATGGAGCCCTGTGTGTTACCAGCTCAGGGACCCCCTGGTGAGCTGGTAGCCAGGGTGCTGGTGCATACAGAACACGCAAGGAGGGAGGAAACAGTGTGGTAGCTGGGGCCGAGCTTATTACCTTATCTGTGGGTCGACGGCATCCGTGTGTCCCAGGGATTAAATCTAAAGGGATTGGTTGGAGCTCTGGTCTTGGACATGACCCTGGTGATCTCTGCACCTGCCAGCGGGGGGTCTAGATCGGGCTTGTTCAGGTTTGGGTGGTTTAGGAGCCCAGATTCCTCTTAAGTCTCAAGGCTAGGAGCAGCGGTTGCAGCTGGGCTGGGGGGAGTGGGCAGAAAGGAGCACCAGGCAGAGGCCAGAGAGAGATGTTGCCTAGGCCGTCTGTGTTGCCCTGAGGCCCCCTCTAAGCCTGGGTTCAGGCTGGCGGCTGCTCTGTGGGCCATGGTTAGTGCAAACTGGAGCACGCTCTTCTGTAGGAGTTTCTGGATTGTGCCCTGGGAATCAGCATGTGCCCACAGAAAACGGTGACTCAGGCAGCGCAGCCCGGTTCGCTGTAATAAAATGCTCTGGGCATTGGAGCTGATTCCGTCTGTTAGGCAGGAGAGGTTGCTGCTGCCGGCCCACGTGGCTGTCTCGTGGGTTGCATGTGTCTTGAAGTTCAGTGACTTAAGGAGTGTGGCGATGTCTATCAGTCTGGTGAGAGAAAATGGCCATCTGAGAATGGGCTGTCTCCCTGAGTCCTGACCTTTTCTTAATGGTTACCGTCTGCCCCCAAGTGCTGAGACAGGGTCTCTGCCCACCTGCCTCCCTCTTCCTCACCTTTGCCTGGGCTGTTCCCACCACAGCTGGGGCATCCTCTGTCCTTCCCAGGGCTTGGCAGAGAGGAGCCTAAGGCGAGGCCCTGGGAGGGATTTGGGACTCCCTGCCTCTGCCTGAGAGGAGCTGGCCAGGGCTCTTCTATCTCCAACCAGAGCTCGCTCCAGCCTGTTCTCCAATTTGGACCTCTCCGGGCTCACCTGGCCTGTACACCTGGTTCCTTCCCATCCCCCAGGCACCTGGCCTTCTGCATCCTGTTTGTTCAGCACTACAGCTGCACTTCCTCCTGTTTTGGGGAGCAATCCGGAGGACTCTGTACTTGAGCCTCCAAGTCAGTTCGCCTTGGGAAATTTGTCCTGTCTCCGCTGGCCCACACATACCACTGAGCCCCACTGGGGTTGTTTGAATCTCTTTGTTTTTACATTCTATTTAGTAATGTTTCCACTTTGATTTGATTAAACATAAAACCTCCTGGCCAGTCCTGGAGTTAGCATAGATGCTCCAGGAAATGGTGCTGTTTTTTCAATGGCGAGAACATTCTGGAATAGAAGCATCCCCAGAGGGTAGGGCTTGGTCTGAACATGATGCCACATCATGGGGTGCATTGCAGGTGTTGCCTCCCCACTCCAGCCCTGCACTGTTTAGCGTGCGTGGAACATACCTCTGCTCCTGAAGTGAGCTGGTGGGCCCTGGACCCTGGGGGACAGTCTGCTGCTGAGGTGTTGTAGTTGAGGGGGCAGAGGATGGGGGCCACAGACAGGGTTGGTGAAGGGGGTGGTCCCGACAACAATGGGGCCGGGTCCCTGGGTGGGTGGGCTGAGGGGAGGCTTTAGTGCTGAGAGCTTGAATCAGGCTGGATGGAGGGGCACCAGCCAAGGGAGGGCACAGCTGAGACCTCCATGGACCACGGGGTTGGCCACTGTTGAGCCTGTTGCAGGCTCTGGGAGGCACAGAGTCCCTTGCCCTTGGGAGCTGGCTTTCTAGTGGAGGACAGCCCACAAACAATAAGGCAGAACAGCTACAAAAGGTGACAGGAGCTCAGGAGGAGGTCAGTGGAGGCCTTCCCAAGAAAGTCTGGGAAGGGACAGCAGGGTCTAGGTGGGGGGCCTGAGGAGAGCACGCTTTGTGTGTTTGGGAGCCACAAGGAGGCCAGTGTGGCTGGTTTGAGCAACCAGGATCAGAAGGTGGGGGTGAGGCTCTGCTGTGGGCACTGTGGGAGGGCTCGACCTTGTCAGGAGGCCTCATGGTTTGACCTCCAGCCCAGGCTTACCAAGGGGCTGGTGAGTGGGCTGACCCCTTGGCTCAGCGCCAGCAGAGCAAGACCACCTCAGAGTGGGCGTGAGTGGCTGGGCCTCCAGCTGACTGCAGCTGGGGTGGGCTTTGGGGAGGCAGTGCTGGTGGGGATACCCCATCCTGTGAGTTGGAGGTACTGTTGGGCCCCCTCAGGGCTGCAGGCTTGACTTTGCTTTTTTTTTTTGTAACTTGCAGTTTTTTTCTTTTTTTTGTAATTTGACTTCATTTGAACTTTTGCTAGGAAAGGAGAGTGAAAATAAAATTAAGAGTAAAAGCAAGTCAAAGATACTTCTGAAATTGTTATTTTATAGCATTTGGAAGAATGGAAAGCACCATTTACCTGAATTGCATTTCAGCTCAAGTTCACTCAGGGGTCTGCCCTCCCCTGTGCCTTGGGCCTGTCTCGCCTGTCAGACTTCTGTTCTACATCTAGGAGCAGCATAGCCAGTGACACAATACATTGACCCAGTTTGCAGGGGAAGCGCAAGGAGATTGTTACTGTCATAACCACAGGCCTTATTTTAGGAATAGAATGAGATAGAGAGGGAATTGTTACAAATAGGCCATTCTCTGGCTCATTACTCCCCCCCTCCTGCTCCCCCAGGCTCGGAAGAGTAAGATAAATGCACATCAAAAGTGTCCATTTAATCGAAAAGCATTTTAGTTTTTATAGAGAAAACTGATAGAAGAATCATATTTAGTTCCTATCAAGAATGTAAAAACGCCAGCCATGTTCATATCGCTTCACGGTGTGCAAGACTCCATCACATCCCCATCCCTGGAGTCTGAGCACATCCCCACGTGTCTGAAATGATGGGTGAAGTTTTGAGAGTTTGAAGTTCTGTGTTTCAATTTTTGGAAGAGCAAGCAAGACTGTTAACATCTGAGAGGGAGATCATAGGCCAAAGACATCTCACCTTTTATAAAACGTGTGTGCAGTGTCAAACTCACGAGGGTCATGGTCCGCCTCCACTCCCTGTCCCGGAAATCCAAACCTCCCGTCCACAGCAGTTCTCTTCCCCCATCAGGAGGAGCACAGGTAGTTCTGCTGTGGTTCACCTGCACCAAAGACCCAAACCTCCATTGTAGGGGACCCCAGGGCTGTTGGCCAGTGGGGGGCAGTGAGTGCCCATCCGAAGGCCAACGTGCCCCACATCGGGTTCAGCTTGCTGGGCTTGAAGGCCCCTGCACTCCTGCCAGAGCCTAAGCCACTCAGATACATAGCCACACTCCCAGGGAAAACAATACAAAACAACAGCAACAAAGGTCTCTGTGATTTTGAAAACAAAAGCCACGTCAGGGATTTTGGAATAAGGACCCTAGTCACTTCTGCTGAGCAGTATTGAATTGGAAAGGTGTCTCGTCATTAGCGAATGTCTAAATGCTTGAATCTGCACAGTTGTTGAGGGAAAGCATTATTATTCTGTTTAAATGGAAAGAGCCTTTAGAAACTGAACAGAGCAGCCATGTGTCCTGCTCTGTGGTGAGGGTCCTTCAACGCCCGTCCTCACTTCCCTGGTTACATTGGCTGTTGTAGTGACTTCAAACCACTGACCCTTCAGAACCAGGCGGGGAGCATGGCGGCGGAGGACAGCATTTCCCCATGTGGTTCAGATGCCAAAGGAGGGCCTCTGGCCAAGCAGGCCAGCGATGACCGCTTCAAAGCACTTTTCCCAGGAGCGTCTAGGGAGGCCTGACCTTCCATTTGGCCCTCAGAAGTCTCTCCTCCATGTTTTAACTAAGTGACTGATGTTATGTTAGATTATGTGAAATATATCGAGTAAGTGATTTAAGTAACTGATACATTTTAAATGAGTAAGTACTTCCGTGATCTGTTTTCTGTTCATACCTTGACACCTAATGTATGGGTTTTCCTCACCAAGCAATTCTCCAGTTCAACGCAGATACCACCTGGGTGTCCTACAGTTTAATTCATTCTAGCACCAATTGCTCAGAGTTAGCATGGCCCCACTCAGGTGTCCAGGTTACTCACACTTCTGTCTGACACGATCTCCCCCCTCCCCCCACCCAGGTTTGATCATTTGCTATAATGGCTCATAGAACCCAGGGAAGCACTGTAGTCCTATCACCGGTTTATTGTAAAGGTTCAATGACCAGCCAGGTGACGGGTCCACAACACAGGGGCCTCTGTCCCTGTGGGGTTTGGGATGCTCCACCTTCCTGACATGCTGATGTGTTAACTAACCCAGAAGTTCTCCAAACCTCCTCATTTAGGGTTTTTATGGAGGTTCCATTGTACAGACATGATTGATTAAATTATTGATGATTAGCTCAGTCTCCAGCCTATCCCCTTCCAAGGATGTGTGGAGGTGAAAACTTCTAACCATCTCATCACAAGGTTGGTTCCCCTGGCAACCGGGCCCCATCCTCCAAGAGTCACCTCATTGGTTTAAATCCAGGTACAGTTGAAAGGGTTGAATAATAACAGATGCTCCTCTCATCCCATCACCCAGGAAATTCCCAGGGTTTTAGGAGCTCTGTGCCAGGACTGGGATGAAGACCAAATCAATATTCCTTAGGATATGACAGTATCACAGTAGTGAGGCAACCTCAGGAAACATAAGCCTCTTCTATCCCCTCATGTTCTTCGTAAGGTGTTATATTTGACCACAGCTGGGAGACCCTGGAAGCCAGTACCTTTTCTTTGTGGGAATCAGTCATGTTTGAGAAGTCAGGTCTCTGTTGCTGATGTCAGAATAACAGTCTGTCCGTCATGAAAAGATTGCTTTTCCTCTAAACCTTTTTCTTATTATAAAATAAAACATTTACTGTAGAAGATAAAGTTAAGCAAAAAAAAGAAGAAAATTAAAACTGCCTATGAGCCCAGCACCAAGAACCAGGTGTTGTTAATTTGGTACTATTTCTTCATAACTACACCTCCCCAAACACGTACAATTTTTTTAAAAATTAAGCCTGGCGCCCGATGCTTTTTAAAGCCCATGAGCAGTATTACAGAGCTGATACCATGCTGTTTCTCTCTTACAGTGCCGTCCAGCTCTTTTAAGAAATAGTTGCCATTCAGCCTCCATGCTGCTGCCTCAGAACCCTGGCACAAAGGGCTATTTCAGTGGGGGACCCGCTTTCCAATCCCACCCACGCTGTTTTCTCCCTCCTGGGTTTCTCACAGCCAGTCCAGGCCTCATTGACCACTCGCGACGTTTCCCCCTGGACCTTTCGGAATGGTCTGGGTGACCTGCTGAGCCTGCTCTTCTCTCCCGCAGACTCCAGTGGCCAGCTGTGTGACGTTGTGCCTGCCCAGGACGAGGAGCCGCAGGCCTGCCCCGATGAGTTCGAGGACTTCGTTACTTTTGAGGCAAGTGGTTTGCATGGGTGAGCTGATAGGGGATCTGACCTCACACCTCTTCCTCTGTACACTCTAAGGTCCGCTTCACATAGTGGTCCCCTGAGGTCTTGGTGTAGGAAATGGCCTGACGGGCAGGGCAGGGCAGGGCTCATTGCTGTCCTGTGCACACTGCGGGAGAGGGAGCATTGTGGTCAGTGGGTGCTGGCTTGGGAGGGCTTGTGGTTGCAGCAGGTGGCACATGGGTGTCTACTCTGAGCATTGCACACCTGAGGCCCTGGCAAGAGATGGCCCTTGGGGCCTGTTAGTGGAACGACAGGCTGAGTGGTTAGGGCTTTCCAGTGATGCTGTCACCTGTGCCAGGCTGCCAAGCAAGGCCAGAGCAGGGAACGTGTTGTGAATTTTTTATTGGATCAAATTTCAAACTGTTTTCTGGGTTCAGGGACACTTGACTAACTCCTCACTGTCCTCTGTCCCCTGCCCCCCGAAGAAGCCAGGATTGCAATAGTGACATGCTGTTGCCTGTAAACATGGGTGTTTTGTCCTCTGCCAAGGCTTGGGGAAGATCTGTGAGCATGGCCACAGAAGGCAGACCACTGTCACCATGTGCCACCAGTTGGTTGGGACAGACACTGGGAGATCCCAGGTGGCTGCATCTGGGATTTTTTTTTTATTGGGGAATTGGGGAAGGGGAACAGCCAAGTTGTCCTTCAGTTTTAGTTGTGGAGGGCACAGCTAGCTCAGCTCCAAGTCTAGCCGCCATCTGGCCTCCCGTCAGCAGCTCCCGGCCACTCAGCTCAAGGTGCTGTGTTCAATCTTAGTTGTGGGTGGGCGTAGCCCACCATCCTATGCAGGAGTTGAACTGGAAACCTTTGTTGCTAAAAGTGCACGCTCTAACCATCAAGCCATCCAGCCACCTGTTGGCAGGTTGGCAGCAGCTCAGCTTGGGTGTAGCTCATTGGCCCATGTGGGAATCAAACCGGTGACCGTGTTGCTCAGAGCTCGTGCTCTTAACCAACTGAGCCACTTGGCTGGCCCTGGAATTGTTTTTTTAAACACACTAGAAACCCCTGAGTCTTTGAAGAGCTGTTGGGGCTCACTTCCTGACTATCACTTCTGCCATCACAGACCCCACCCCCAGGCCACCTGGGCATGTTCACCCTTCACAGCTTTGTCCCAAAGTACCAGCCGAGGGCAGGGACCACCCTGCATTGCATCCCCTTTGTTCATTCTGGGTGTGACCTGGGGGTGCCAGGCCCTGACCTGGCATGTGGAGGCCAGTGCCCACTGGGCCTTGTACTGACAGCAAATCAGAGTGTGGCCAGGTGGGGGGAGCCTCAGTGTGCAGAGCTCTGACACGTCAGCTTTCAGGTGAAGTGCCAGCCCTCGTGCTATGAAGAGGGTGCTTATGTGGCCTAAATAGGGCCCAGCTCCTTTACAGGGAGGCGTGGAAGGGTCCATGTGGTTTGGCACACCTCGAATTTTCCAGGAATGCAGCTAGGTCGGGGGACAGCTTTCGTTTTTTTTTTTTTTTTAGCTGAGCCATCCTGCTACCTGTTGGCAGCTCAGCGGCCGCTCAGCTCGGGCCGGGACTCGAACCGCTGTTGCTCAGCTCAAACTCTTGAGTGAGCTCTTAACCAACTGAGCCACTCGCCGGCTCAAGCTTTCCTTTCTTGTTTGAGGCACCTGGGGAACTGCTTTCCCAGCAATATCGCACGGTCCTTTCACTTAAGTAGTTGGCACGAGACCCTTATCACATCTCCTAGTGCACGTACTTTATCATCACTGTCTTTTATTTCATGCCTCTCCCATTTCTGCTAGGGCATTATATCAATTTTTAAAATATTTTATGTGTAGGTGGTGTGTGGGTTGAAGGGTGCTTCCCCAAAAGATACGTCCACCTAGAGCCTGTGAACATGACCTCATTTGGAGAAAGGGTCTTTGCAGATGTGACCAAGTTAAGGATCTCAAGGTGAGATCATTCTGGGTAGTGAGTGCTCTTATGAGAGGAAGATAGATGACACACAGAGGAGAAGGCAGTATGAAGAGAGGCAGAGGCTGGAGGGATGAGGCCACAAGCCCAGGGGTGCCAGGAGCCAGCAGAAGCTGGAAGAGGCCGGGAGGAAGAATTCCACCCTGCTGACACCTTGATTTTAGACTTCTGGCCTCCAGAACCTTAAGAGAATCCATTCCTGTTGTTTTTGGTGGCCGCCCAGTGTATGGTAATTTGATGTGGCAGCTCTAGGAAACTACTAACAATGTTTTTTCATTCAGGATAGTAAAAGGCATCAACAAGTTTTTTACTTCAAGTTCCCTTGTGATCCAAAAGGGTGAGGCAGGCAGGAGTGCTGTTTGACCCTGGCTCTCTTTTGTCCTCTGAGCGGGTAGACTCCCCCGCCACCCCACAGCCCACGTGACTGGCCCCTCCACCTCCGTGGTGCTTTGCCCTGGGGGTGTGCCAGCTCCCGCCCCATGCTTGTTGCCTTTGGAAGGCTCGGTGGGAACCTGACATTGTACAGGGTGTGCAAAAGAAATGCTTCTCAGGTTTTTAGATCCTAATGTTTTCAGGGTGGATGAAACATTTCTTTTAAAATTTTTTGTTACTTAAAAAAAATTTAATATACTTTATATTTTAGAAGTTTTAGGTTTACTAAAAATGGAGCAGGTAACATACAGCGTTCCCATCACCCCCCCCACACACACACACACACACACACTCAGTTCCCCCCTCCCATCACGAACATCTTGCCTTAGTGTGATAACATTTGTTACAATTGATGAACCAGTACTGATGCGTTATTATTAACTAAAATCCATAGTTTACATTAGGGTTCACTTTTGGTGATTTTAACAAATGTGCAATGCCATGTAGCACCATGGTCGTCTCACACAGAGTAGTGTCATTTCCCCAAAAACCCTCTGTGCTCCCCTGATTCATCCCCTCCCCGCCACTAACACTCAGCAACCACTGATCTTTTACTGCCCCCATAACTCTGCCTTTTCCAGAGTGTCACACTGTTGGTATCACAAGTGTGTGGCCTTGGCTGACTGGCTTCTTTTGCTTGGTAATACTGTGTATTTAAGTTTCCTCCATATCTTTTTATGTTTTTTAAGGTTTTTAGATGTAATTTTTGGGGGGAATGGGACTAGGTACTGTGAAACTTACAGAAAGATTGCTTTGTTTTAAGAAAAATGCATGTGCATTGTGTAATGTTAACAAGTCTACTAAAAATAGGAGTGGAGAACATATGCATTACATCCAAATAGCACGTTTGGAAGTCAGGTCCTCTGCCAACGGTCCTCAGAGATGAGTAAGCCTCTTCCTGGTTTTCTGGCTGGGCACACGACGTCGTTGGCCAGGGGACCCTGTACAGGGAACTGGTGCTCACCTGCCAGGGCTGTTCAGCAAGTCCCCAAACTCCCAGCATTTCCCCAAGCAGCCCTTCAGCTTGTCACTTGTAACAGATGCTCCCAGGAGAAAGTTACTGACGTGTCTCTGAGAAGAAGGGAGAGGTGAGGAGGTGACTTAAGGATTGTCACTGACGTTCAGGGAATGAGAAGAAAGCTCAGTCCCTGAGAACCTGAGCCAGGTGAGGGTGGAGTGCTGGAGCCCTACAGGGGGCGATCTCGAGCATCAGAATTTCTGGAAGTGGGGGGTGGGAAAGTCCTGGAACAGAGCCAATAAGAATGGTCGCTGCTGTGCCTTCTCGGCTCCGCCCTCCTCTCCCACTACCAGCTTCTAGATTAAAGAGCTGCCCTAATAAAATGACAGGGAAATGTGTCCTTTGTGCGCACTGTTATCAGAAAGCCTAGAGAGTCAAGAACAAAAGCCACTCTGTTTTGAGACCTGTTCATTAGGAACCCTGCAAGCACACTTCCTGAACTTTGCTCCCGCCCCTAGCCAGCACAGCAGCGGTTCAGCCGAGCGTGGCTGGGAGCAGGTTAAACTTTTTCCCAGGCAGCGATGTACCTCCAGGGGAACACACAAGTTTTGCAGAAACGCCGGCACGACTTGTCAGTGGAAAAGCTAGTGACCAGTGTGAAGGGCAGGCCCCAGCGCCCCTGATACAATGGGGAGGCCGTCCCCAAGGGCACGCCTTGCCTGAAGCCGGTGTGTGGAGTCAGGCCCGCCCGCCAGGCCCCCCAGGCCAGCATCTGAGGGTAAGAGGAGGCTGTGCTGTGGCGGGACGCCAATTCACACTGTGCCTGGCAGTTCATTTCCCTTGGAAGGACCACGACCTGGGCTGTGGGGACCCTGGGCAGGGTTGGCTGTACTTGATTTCTTACTGGTGACTCTGTAGGTGGCCTTCTTTTTTTTTTTAAGATTTTCTTGGGGAGTTAGGGGAGGGGAACAGTGTTGGGGAAGGGGAACAGCCATGTTGTGTCCTTCAAACTTCGTTGTGGAGGGTGCAGCAAGCTCAGCTCCAAGTCCAGTGGCGCCACTCAGCTCAAGGTGCTGTATTCAATTTATTGCGGGTGGGCGTAGCCACCATCCCATGCGGGAGTCAAACCAGCAGCCTTGTTAAGAGCACCTTTTGTCCCCTGAGCCACCCAAGTGGCAGCTCAGCTCAAGGTGCCGAGTTCAGTCTTAATTGCTGGTGGATGTAGCCCACCATTCAAACCGGCAGCCTTGTTGTTAGGAGTACGTGCTCTCATCAGCTGGGCCATCCTGCCACCTGTTGGCAGCTCAGCTCAGGGGCAGCGTCACTGGCCCATGTGAGAATCGAACTGGCGACCCTGTCACTCAGAGCTCGCATTCTTAGGCAAGCTCTTAACCAACTGAGCCACTCGGCTGGCCCCTCTGTGTGGCCTGTCTGTTGGCAGATCATTTGTTAACTGGTGAAGGTGACATTAACACGTAGCGAAGTTTCTTAAGATGCACTTGATTTCTACATGAGTTCATCTTAACACAGGTAATTTATAAACAGTTGTAAAGGTGACGGCACAGACTTGTGGGCTTCTGGGCAGAACAGGGTCATGTCTGGTGGCAACTATAAACGGATGGACATGTCTGTGAGCTGTTCCTGTGTTTTGTCCAGTAGACGACAGCTGAGTATACACCGTGCTCTGAGATGCTTCTGCCTCTTGAAAAGCTGGTGCTTACCCACCTACCCTGGCTGACGTTTATTCAGGGCGGCCTTGCCCAATAGAAGCTGACCCTCGGGGGCCGCACATGTGGGGCAGCACCTGGGACATGAACCATCCTGTCCCCCTAGCTGCTTGGCTGTCTCTGGCTTTGTCCTGGGTGCTCACAGAGCCCATGGGTCTCCTGTCCCCTTTGGGCCTCTGTCTGTGCACTCGGACTGCGTACGGTATTAACAGGTCAGAGGCTGTTTACCGCCCAGCACCCCCACCAGAATGTCTGTGTTTGTAGCTGTGCTGTAGGGACAGGACCTCCGTGACCCCTTTTGTTGCTAATTTGGGGCAAATTAAGGAGTAAGTACAAACAAAGCCTTTTGTGAACAGTGTTCATCTGCGTGCAGGGGAACGGATTTGCTTTGGAAAGGAGAGTTGAAAGTGGGAGAGCGTTCGCCCTCCTGTGTTTAAAAGGTGGGGAGGTGCCCAGAATGGAGTGTGAGACTGCCTGACTGGAGGCAGCCAGGTTTGCATCGTGTCTGCCTCACTGTTCCCATGTAAATGGAGAACTATTTCCACCCTGAGCTCCAAGGGGGGTGTTGGCTGCAGCCCCAGCCTCAGCTGCATGATTGATGGCAGCTCCATGCAGGTGAAATAAACATTCCCAAGTGCCTGGACCATCATCCCCTCCCTGGAGAGAAATGCTGGCTGGGTGCTCAGTTGATTTGCTCTTAGAGACGCTGAATTGCCATCGAGGGCTCGGGGTCCACGCAGCCCAGAAAAGAGCTCGTGCATCTGTCAGAAGTGCAGGTTGGCTGGCCTTTTTTTTTTTTTTTTTTTAAAGATTTTATTGGGGAATTGGGAGAGGGGAACAGACAAGGTGCTGTCCTTTTGTTCTTCAGTCTAGTTGTGGAGGACGTCACTTCACTGGCCCATGTTGGTACTATCATTGTGCTCTTCCTGGGTGAGGCAGATCGGTCCCTGGCTACTGGATGGCCGCTCATGGTGGCTCACGGTGGCTCACGGCAGCTCACACTGGCTGCCAGCCACTCACGGTAGCTTATGGCAGCCCACTGCAGCCCCACTGCAGCCTACACTGTCACTGGAGACTCACGGCAGCCCAGCTCCAGATCAAGCTGTTGTTCACCATCTTAGCTGTAGAGGGCAGTGTCACTGGCCCTCATGTGGGATCTGAACCGGGGCCCTGCTGCTCCAGAGCTCGCACTCCCAAGCCAACTCTTAACCAACACACCACTCGGCTGGCCCTGGCTGGCTTTTTAAAAGTTGACCCCAAGAGTCAAGTTCTCTTCCCCATGGGTAACCATTTCGGAGGGTCTCCAGTTAGTGTCTGGGGGGCCCTTGCTGGCTCTGTGTGGTGAGGATTAGCGTGTGTGGGCCCTGCCTTCTTCCCTGGTCCAAGGACTGAGATTGAGGTTGGGGAGATCTCCGTGGGATTGCCCTACAGATAAGGAACAGTGCTCTTGTAGGATATTTCAGCTGAGTACTGAATAGTTGACTGGTCTTTGTCATTGTCGTTAGAATTCTGGGGGGGGGTGTCTTCCTGGTGCCCTTGGGGAGTTCTTGGGCAGTAAGTACCCCATGTGAGCGAGCAGTGCCATCTGGGCAACTGACGAGCAGCCACCCAAGTCAGAAATTGGCTGTGGCTTTTGTGCCTGCTCTCTTGTGTTTCCCCCTCAGGCCAGCTCCTGATGCACTGGCACCTGCCCGGCTCAGACGGCCTGTCTCTGCCTGTGCTGCCCTCAGGTCAAGCACGGAGCCAGCCTGTGCCAGGCAGAAAGACACCTGCTCAGGCAGGGATGACGAGTAGAACTAGAGCAGGTACCTCTTCAAGCGACTTCCGGGTTTCAGATTTTAGAGTGAACTTGGTTGTCTTAGATTCCAAGGAAGATTGGGTTTTCCCTTGGAAACATAAGTAACGTCCTTGAACACCCAAGTAGGTACATCTCACATTATTCCCTATTTTATCCTGGCCTAATAAGCTGCTGGCAGGGATTCCACTCACCAGTGACACGTGAACCCTACAGTCTTTTTTTTTTTTTTTTTAACCCCACGGTCTTTCGGTTTCTGTTTCAGCACCTGCCTTTGAGGTCTCTCTTGATCCCATATGGTTGCACCCTTGTGAGTTCAGCATTTACACCCCCCGTTTTACAAATGAGACAGCAGAGCTCGGAGTGGTTGAGACCTTAGTCAGGGGTCATCTGGCTGTGTAGACAGTAGACCAAGGATGGACCTGGGTCTCAAAGGCCATACCAGGCTCCCGCCAGCTTGGCCATGGCCCTTCGCATCTCTTCGATGGGACAAGGAGCCTTGGGGACGCAGCTTTGCAAGGCCCTCTAGCTTCCCCCAAATGTAGCCGAGAACTGGTGTCTTTTGGTTACCGCAGCCCATCTGAGCACACTGTCCACCTCCCGTGATGGGAGTACAAAGTGCACCTCTCTCCAGCGACTTTCTGAAACCTTACCTGTTTGCAAATCGTTAACCTCAGAATCTTGCAGGCATGACATGTTGGCTTCTTTTCCTAACCAACACAACTGTATTTTAATCAAAGTTGAGATTATCAATTAAAACTGGCCTGTTTCACGGTTCTTTAGTTTTCAGTTCATTTCACAATCCACAAATATTCCCTGCCTGCTCTGTGGCAGCCCTGTACTAGGTGCTGAGTCCATACAGGTAAAAATAATATGTTTATTGGGAAAGTAGACATTTAACCAGTGAACATAATCAGTTAGTTAAATAAATAATTGATAGTAATTAGTATTTTGAGGTTAGACCACAAAATCATTGAATGTCAAAGCAGTAGCCTGAACATACATAACAGATAATCAAGGTGACTTTTTAACTTGAAAAGGCATATTCTTACCTGATTGAGTGCTAATTCTTTGGGTATAAATATTGGGTTGTCGGAAAAGTCATGACGCATTTTTGCAATGAAAAACATAGAAAAAATACGTCATGACTTTTCTGACAACCTAATAATTCTGATGCCGGAAGCCACAGAATGGGAATTTATCAAGTGTCAGGATGTTTTGTATCTGTTTTAGGTATATGTATGTAGCTAACTTTAAAAACAACTCCAATAGTGTTTTTCTACACTTGGACATACTCCTCTTTTAAAAAAAAAAAACTTAAATTGTTGGGCCAGCTGAGTGGCACATTGGTTGAGTTGGCTTGGGACGCCAGCTCTGAGCGGCAGGGCCCCCGATTCGGATCCCACATGGACCAGTGTCATTGCGCCCTCTACAGCTAAGATGGTGAACAACAGCTAGACCTGGAGCTGGGCTGCCATGAGTCGCTGACGGCTGCTGTAAAGCTACCGTGAGTGGCTGGCAGCCAGTGTGAGCTGCGAGGAGCCGCCCTGAGCTGCTGTCCAGTGGCTGGCGAACTATCTGCCTCACCTGGGAAGAGCGCAATGATAATACCAACATGGGCCAATGAAGCGACATCCTCCACAACTAGACTGAAGAACAAAAGGACAGTAACTTGTCTGTTCTCCTTCCCTGATTCCCCAACGCTGTTCCCCTCCCCCAGTGCCCCAATAAAATCTTTAAAATAAATAAATAAATAAATAAACTATTAAATTGTTTTGTAAGCTAGTTTCTGCTTAGAAATACAATAGGGACTTCTCCCGAGTGAGAGCATTTCCTCCGCATGGTCGTTTCGATTCCTGCAGCAGTGTTCACTGGGCCGGGCACGGGTTTATTGTGCCGCTCGCCATACATGGACGCTGTTATCTCCAGGGTGCCAGCACTGACTCCTGGTGCTCTCTCCTAGGCCAACGAGGTGACAGACAGTGCGTACATGGGCTCCGAGAGCACCTACAGTGAATGTGAGACCTTCACCGATGAGGACACCAGCACCCTGGTGCACCCTGAGCTGCAGCCCGAAGGGGATGCGGACAGTGCGGGTGGCTCAGCTGTGCCCTCTGAGTGCCTGGATGCCATGGAGGAGCCCGGCCATGGCGCTTTGCTGCTACTCCCAGGCAGGTCTGTACTCCACCCCCCAATAGCCGGGACACTGCAGGAGGCACCACATCGGGGTGAGAGGGGCGGTGTGGGTTCTGGAGGGGCTCGTGTCATGGGGCTTAGAATCATCCCAGGGCCTTCGAGAGAGGGCGGACCTGCCAGGTAGCCCACGGCCTGCTGCCCTGAGCTGCCTCCCATCGCAGCTGACCTACCAGTCAGGAGATGACAGGGGTTACAAATGCTGCACAGCTCCTTTGGCTGTAGAGATGGAAAGTGTAGGAGAAAAACTTTATCTTGGCCTTTTGGATTTTGTCCTCACGGTTCTTATAAACCAGGTAAGACACAATATCCAGTAAGTGTCTTCCGGCAGGATATTACAGCCTCACCTTTGCATCATGCCTGACCAAACCGCCTGTTCCCCAACTTCGCTCCAGGTCCCCCCATGCATTTGAGGACCAGAGAGAGAAGAGGGCAGGGTGGGACAGGTGCCGGTGGTCCCCATGGACCTGAAGGAACAGCTTGAGGTTTTGCCCTCTACTCCTGGGGGAGCCGCCATGCTTAGCAGCCTTGGAAGCGCTTGCTTTTCTTTTGTTTCGCTTATTTTATGTCATTTTGTTTCTTGTTTGGCCCTCACAGTTTTTGTTTTTTTCTTTTTAATTGAACTAATGCACAGTGACGTGCATGTGCACCTGTCATAAATGCGCAGATGCTTGCACCCAGTGATCCCTCCGGCACTTGGCTCCTAAGGCAGCACCGATCTCACTGCCTGGCTTTCTGCCTTACGTGCTCCGTGATCACACTCACTGAAGGGTCCCCTTACACCTGGCTTCTTTCACTTAACATCGTGGCTATGAGAGCCAGCCATCTTTTTGTGCACAGTTGTAAATCATTTACGTTCATTGTTATTCGAGCATTTCATTGTATGAATGTGCTATGTCTTTTTAACTTACTCCATCGATGAGCACTTGGGTAGCTGACAGTTTGGGTTATATGAATAAAGCTGCTGTAAACATGACCTGTATTTTAGCCGTGCGTCTGGAGCCTTTGGCTTTCAAAGTTACTGCACTTCCCAGTTCAGATGGTTCCAGACAGGCCTTACAGTGGTTACGTGCCCGCCAGTGCTGTGGGTTCTGGTTGCTCCTCTGACACCTGGCATTGTCTGCTTTCTCATGCTCATTTTCTGGAAGGTGTTTTCTGAAACGCTGGTTCGGGATAGTTCTCACTAGCATTTCCCAGGTGACTCATGAGGGTGAGCACTTTTTCTTGCCTGTTGCCCATGTAGAGATCCTTTTTTGTGAAGTGGCTGTTCATGTCTTCTACCCATTTGCTTATTGCAGGGGTCTGTAGCTTTTTCTGTAAAACGGCCAGATAATAAAATTATTTTTTGGCTTGCAGGCCATATTGTCTTGGTGGCTCCTTCTCAGCTCTGCTGTTGAAGTGCAGAATGAGTGGCATATAAGTGGGACTCGGCCCCTCCTGGTCTGTTGGTCCTGGTGTCTGTCTTTTTCCTACTGATTTGTTAGAGCTTTTATATATTTTAGATAGGAGTCCTGAGTTCCATAGGTGGATTACAGGTATCTTTTTTCTACTCTATAGGTTCTTGCCTTTTCAGTTTCCTGGTTCTGTCTTTGGGGAACAGATGTTTTTAATTCTCCTCTAGTCCAGTTTAATCTGTTTTTCTTTTGTGATGAGCACTTCTGTGTTATTTAAGAAATCTTTGTTTATTGCACATTACTGTGATGTTTATTTCTGTTTTCCTTTCAAAGCCTATTGTTTTGCCTTTATCTTCAGATCCGTTCTCTCTCCACAGTGATCTTTTGTGTATGGTGTGAGGTAGGAATAATTTTTCCCATATCGATATCCAATCGAATCAGCCTCGTTTTGAAAAGATCCCTCCTTCCTCCATTGTCCAGGTGTCACCTTGATCCCATGAGGTGGCTACTAGAACATTTGAACTCATGCGGCTTACAGCATATTTCTGCTGGAAAGCGCTGGTCAAGCCCTTGGTTCTGGGGCTGCCCATGGCTGTGAGTCAGAATGTGTCATTTCTCTTTTGCCTTAGCAGATCCCACCTGCACAACCAGTCTGTCGTCACGGTGATAGGTGGCGAGGAGCATTTTGAGGACTACGGTGAGGGCAGCGAGGCAGAATTGTCCCCGGAGACCCTCTGCAATGGGGAGCATGGCTGCAGTGACCCCGCGTTTCTCACCCCCAGGTAATATGGCCCTGGACCAGTGCACCTGTCCTCCTCTTGTTTCCCCATGGCTGGTTGTAGGGAACTTCCCCCTTTGGTTGATAAATTTGTGAAGGAGAACTTACTTATTCTCTGTAGTATAATTAACATACCACAGTCAATATTTTAAAATTTATACCTGGGTGAAAGTTGGCTGAAGTTTCTCCCATCCAGTGACATTCCCAGATCACTCCACATTTCTGTGGCCTCTGCAGAGCCACGAGGCACAGAGCCCGGGTGGGCAAACCTGGCTTTGCGGGCTCCTTAGGCACTCGCTGTGGATCTCGTTATGGTTCGTAGCCGGCTTGGAGGGAAGCTGTATGTGTGTGAGAACGTTTAACTTCTAGTCTCTCAGAAAATTTTAATTATACAACATGGTGTTATCAACCATAGTCACCATGTTTTACATTAGATCCTCAGACCTGATTCTTGTAGCTGAAAATCTGTACTCTTTGACCAGACTCCGAGGGAGCCTTGAACATCACAATTTTGTGAATTCCTTTCCTTATAATTATCTGGCATCCCCAAACTGTCTGAGACATTCTGACTTTGAATAAATTGCACTGTGATACCTAATGGGTGAGACCCTCACTTAACGAGCTGCTTACTCCTCAGCACTCCTTCCTCTTGGAGCTGTACAGGAGGCCCTGGGAGAATGCCGGCTCTTGTATCCAAACAAGGGGCCTGAGCGTGCTATGTCCCATGGCCTGGCCACCTTTTCCTGGTGGCTGGCCCATCAGAGAACACGCCTGGCCTCTTCAGGCGAGACACTTGTGAGGCTCAACAGCCTGGCCACTTCAGCCTCCTTTCCCATTTGCACCCAGTTCTTGAAATTCTCCATCTTTACTGACAGCTAAAGTGGCAACTGTGAGATTCTTCCTTTGTCCAGACTTTTACCCACTCCTAGAGGACCTGGGTTGGGGGCAGTGCCTGACAAGCTCCCCCCTTGCTTTCTCCATGTGCTGTTCCCTAAGCTGCCTGTGACGGGGGGGAAGGGCGGGGGGGGGCGGAGGTGAGGGACCCTCCACAGGTGTCTCTGGGAGTAAGAGTTAGTGAAGCAGCAGCTCCCTTCTGATGTGCGTGCTCATGCTGGTGTAGAGGCCGAGGCCAAAGGACTCAACCTTGCTAAGTGTGTGTGTCTGTCCTGTTTTGGTAAAGCTCTACCCATTTGTTTAGTTTGTCCCTGTCTCTTGTCCAGTGTTTCATTGTTTTCTGTCTCAAGTGTGACTTCTATGCTATAACTGATGTTTCGCTTTAGCTTTTCTTCAAATTGAATTTCCAGATTGGCTTTTAAAAGCCTGTGGGTCCTCATACCCTAGACACATTGTGGCCTCCCGGCATCAGATGCATCACCAGTGCCCTGAAAGCCCATTGAAGTTATACAGGGAGGCTGATAGAATTCTGACTTTTTTTCATTCTTAATTGGGAAACAGTGTGTTTTTCCTGGACCCATCAGCTCCACGCCAAGTAGTTGTTTCAGTTTGTTTGTGGAGGGCGCATCTCAGTGGCCCATGTGGGGATCAAACCAGCAACCTTGGTGTTATGAGCACCGGGCTCTAACCAGCTGAGCTAACTGGCCGCCCCAAATTCTGACTTTTCAGCAAAAGTGTTAAAAATGACAAAATTATTGATGATTCATAATCAATGCATAGTCTTTGATTCTGGTGATTATTAGAGCAGTTATTAAAGTAGGTCCAGTACAGTGAGTTAAACTCCACCTTGAGACATGCTTGGCTCTCACGTTGATGAGGTTTTTACAAAGGAGGGAACAGTGTATCCGGGCTTACTTCTTGTTCAGGGTTTTCTTTTTACAGTGGAGCTGATGGGATACCCTGTTCCTTCTGAGCACCTGACCAGGAAGGAGCTGGTGTGTGGCCAGGCCCCCTGCTGCTTGAGCTGGTGTGTGTCACGGGTCCCAGAAGTGACACTGAACGAGGTGGTTTGATTGCAGTCTGAAAGATCTAGAACCTTCCACAGCCCATTACCTGACAACATGCTTTTGCCCAGCTGATTCTCACCCTGTGTGGAGTCCCAGGAAACCTGTGGGGTCCTTGCTGTCTCCTGAACTGACACTTCTCGTCTCTTTAGCGCCGACCCGCTTGCCGCAAAGCTGCACAGCATCCTCACTGATGAGGCTTTTGAGTTTTACTGTAGCCAGTGCCACAAACAAATCAACCGCCTCGAGGATCTTTCTGCTCGCCTGAATGATCTTGAAAAGAATAGGTAACTGATACAGTGCCTGGCCTTGCTCTGTGTTCAAGGCTGAGGGGGACTCTTGCCTGTAGCACGCCCCCCTGCCCCCAGCAGGTCTGGCCAACTCTGGGGGCGGGGGGGCTTCCTCTGTGGTCCAGAGGCGAGCATGCAGACGCTGGCCCCTTCCCTGGCCCCGCCCCACCTCCCTGCACGGCTGAGCCTGTTTAATGCCCTTTGCCTCCCTCTCTCCTGTGTGCATGCCACAGCCTAACCAGTGGCTTCTGTCCCTATGGGAAGAAGCAATCTTTAGATACTGTGTATCCTGTGTGAGGAAATCCAGCCTGTGAAAGAAAGTGTGCTTGGGGAGAGACACTTTCTTCATTGTACAAAAAGATTTCTTTAATTGAGCCCCGTGAAACAGCATTGGGAAATTTAGTTAAGGTTTGGTCTTTAAAAGCAAGTTTGTAGTCCACTTTCAGGAATGTTGGTTTAAACCAGGTGTCCTTCTCTGGGTGAGCCGCTCCCCTGAACTCACTTTTGTAAGGCAGCCTCAGCCTCCCTGACCAGCAGAACCCTGCTCTGCTACCCTGGCATCTGCTGCTGCTCCCTGCCCTCGCCAGTCCATTCTCCTCCATCTTCTGGGTCCAGTTTGGGCCAGACTGTTTGCTTCCCTCTCCATCCCTAACCCCCAAGCCCAGCTCAGGTCGGAGTTCCAGGAGGCGACAGCTCCTTTTGCTGGCTCCTCACAACTCCACAAACTCCAGTTATAGAAAACATTTCTTTGGGAGTTGGCACATGTTGACCTGCTCGTTAAGCATATTGTTGATTTAGCTTGTTGTATGGGAAAGCCCCGGTGGGTGGGGGGGCACTCTGAGGGCAGAGAGGGATGGTCCGTGCCTATCAGTGTTGTGGGCTCCCAGGTGACAGTCCAATCCGGGGCAGCTTCCTGGAAGAAGGGGCCTCAGACTGGCAGTAGGTTACATCAGTGCAGAAATGTGAACCATCCTGATGGTTTCAGTGTGTTTAGAGACGTCTTCTAAAAACTGCTTATGTAGCTTGAGGAGCCTGCCCCATTAGGGCCTCCGCCAAGGCTAGCTCAGCCTTCCTGGTGGGTTCCCCAGCGCCTCAGCCCCGTCACACCTGCTGCCTCAGCACATTGCACGTCTGGGACCCTTTTTCTTGTGTTCTGTGCAACACTTACAACACAGGCTGGAGTCCAGCAAGTGCCCAGTCAGGTGGAGAGGACAGGGCAGGACCCTGGGATTTGGGACCCATCAGCAGCCTCAGAGGGGAGCATGGTGGGGTCCCAGCAGCAAGGATGACAAGCTGGAAGTGCTCGTGAAGGGAGGCCTTCCAGGGAGACTTGAGAAACTGTGGCATCTGCTGATTCCAAAGCCCCATGGGCCTCTGTTTTAGGGAAAACGAGTTTTACCTCGTGTGTGTATGTTTCCCTGGGTGCTGTGATGAGGGGTCTTTTGTCCTTTCCATGTGGAGACTTGCCTTCCTGCTGAGCGGGTTCCAGTATGGGTATGTCATCTCTCGTTGTGTGAAGATGTCTGGTGTAGACGTGATCTCTTCCCATGTGGAGAATCTGCCCAGGACTGCCATGGTCACCCGCGTGGGGCTTTGTGGGGCAGAGAACAGACTCCACCAGCGAGTCCAGTGGGGATGTCATCACCAATTTCAGCCACCTATTCCCTAAGCAAGACTCTACTAAAGTTGGTTAATATACTAGTAAAATCATTACTATAATCAGGACATAACTGTCAGTCAGGAAATTTCCCCCTAAACTCAGTGAAGGAGATCTGAATCTTGCATGTTGGTTTCCATGGGATTGCCTCAAAATAAATGTATTTGGTCATAGTGTGTAGAAGAGCAAAGGTGATTAAGGCCAAACCATATCCGAAAGCTTTGACGTCAGAGACAATTTCTATCCAGTGAGGCTCAGAAGATGCCAACTGCTATCATATTTTCCAGGTTTGGTAGAAGTCTGCTTTCCCTTAGAGGTATATTTTCAAATTGTAAACTCTGTCACTGGACTGCCAGTCTCGTCCCTGAGAGGTCAGCTAGGAAAGTAAGTCCGTCCCAGCCTGTTATTTTCAAGGAGTCTCAATAACATTAGGACAAAACTCAATTTGTGTTGAAATACACAGTATTAGTCAGGGTCCCATCAGGAGAGGGAGCTACACAGTGATTTGAACAGGGAAAGTTTAACAAAAAGAATGACTGACTGTAATGGGATTGGCTAGTAAGAGTCAAGAGAACTCAGAAAAATACAGGAACAGCATCTGTGGGGAGCAGCCAGCCCACCCCCATCCAGGCTGACATCCCACCCTGCTGCAGAGGACATGGCCATGGCAAACTCGGTGGTGCTATACATGGGGAACTTCTAGAACATGCTGGAAATCTGCCCCCTGGCGGGGGGTCTTACCAGGGATACTTTGCTACAAAGCTGCCAGAGCTTATGTCAGGAGAAGCTTTTGGGCACTGGGTGCTGCTGGGTGCTGGCTCTGGGGAAGCTGCCCAGGTGGGAGTTTGGAATGTGACATATCTGTGCCTAAACTAAAACCGATGACAACACTTTGCTATTACAAACAAGCCCGTGCTACGTTTCATGTAAGGGCCTCTGATGGCCAGCCCTTTGGAAGGTAATTTGGCTTCAGAAGCATTTGGGATGTGGCATTGGCCGATGGCCTGGACCCAGTGCAGCCAGCTGGCAGTCTACGTGCTGGGGTCGGCCTCAGACCTGGGGTCTGACTGTGGCTCCATCAGAAATGTCTCTGGGGGTGGAATGACGCAAATAACACTTTCTGAGGCCTTGACAAGCCCCTGCGATGGCTCCCGTGTCCCTGAATGTTTTGCTGAGTGGGCCTTTCTGTGCATGGAGCGGACCCTACGAGCACCGTGCTGCATGCCTGAGGACGCGCCCCCCCATCACTATATCTCTTCAGCCTGAATTTCCTGTTTCCTCCCGTTCCTCCCATTCTGTTCTCTGACACGATTTTCCTGTTTATTTTGATTTTGCACAGTCCAACGAGGCGGCTCTCCAGCAAGAAGGCGGCAAGGTAGGAGACCATTGCTTCCTTACTGAGATGTTCTGAAAAGCATCACCCTGCATAGCTCCTTAAAAACGTGTTTAGAAAATACTGTGTGCCAACGTATTTTTCAAAACTTGGGAAAATTACTTCCATGGTTTGGGATTGAAAATAATTTGAGGGGATGGGTTGTGAAAAGAATTTCCAAAGGTGTGGGTTGGGACGTGAATTTGTGACCGGGAAGTTGATGTTGGAAGCTTTTGTCATTCCTCCTGTTTTATTGAGTATTCACCACAAGATCTGGAAGGGGGCCGATGTCCCCACATGTCTGCTGTAGGTTAACCCACTGGTAGAGAGTCCATGAGGGGCCTGATCTCACACAGCCAAACGTGATGGAGCCCAGGTCTGGGTCTGCCTCTTTCAAAGGCTGCGTCCTTCCCACCCCCACTACTTCCCCAGGGAAGGAAAAGAGGAAGGAGATGAGCCTAACTCTGGGTTTCTAAAGAACACGCTTTTGTGACTATTCATTCACTTTTCCGTCTTGGATCCAACCTATTGGTTTCCTTCAGTGAGAGATGACAGCACACACATTTATCCTCTTCCTGCTATGCTAGCTCTAAAGACAAGTTTCACAGGCTTTACCAGACACCAGCAGCTCTTCCCACGTGTAATATGTTACTATGTTTCCTTTTTAAGACAAGTCATTGCTTCTCCTGGAGTTGGTGATTGTCTTCATGTTTTTCTCTGCTTCCTCTTTTGTCCTGCGTGTCCTGCGAGCTCCTACCTCCTCTGCCCAGCCCTCTCACAGGACCACAGGCAGCACTGTGTCTATGTGGACGTTCCCTCCCAGAGCCTCTGCCCTTTGCTGTCTGGATATTTGTTTCAGATGTTGAACCATCTCACTCCCTGATCCTCTGTCTTTCTTTTTTTTATTAAATCTCCATTTTTTGTCCAGCACATATTCCAGTAGTTTCTTGAGAAAAGAGGTGCCCAGAAGATAAATTTTTGTGACCTTGCTAGATTTTTTATTCTTATAGTTTGGCTTTGTATAGCATTCTGGGTTGTAAATAATTTCTCTTTAGAGTTTTTGAAGGCATCACTCATTATCTCCTAGCACTAGGGCTGCTGCTGAGAGGTCTGATGCTTTCTGATTTTTCTTTGTAACCATTTTTCCGTCTCTGGAAGCTTTTAAGATGTTGTCTTTATCCCTGTAGTTCAGAAATTTTATGCTGAGTCTTATAAGTCCTTATTCCCATTAATTATGCTGGGCTGGGTGAAAGTCGTGCTGTTCCAATCTGGAAGCTTCTGTCCGTTACTTCTCGGGACCTTTCTCGAGGTGTTTCTTTGATAGTGTCCTCTGTTCCTCTTGCCACTCCTTCTGGGACTCCTGCTTGTGGCCTCACATGCCTTGTCGCCTATGTGCCTCTCAGCTCTGGCTCTGGCTCCTGTGATGCACGCGCCACCAGCTTTTCCTCCCCTTCTCTTCCCTGAGTTCCATCTGGGCTCTGTCCTTCCTGTTAGAGGTCCCCCTCAAACAGCCAGGGGTGTGTTCTCTGTGCGTGTTGGAGTGGTTGCTCTCAGCTGGCAGGCGGCCTCTGGCCTGCATGCGGTGTGGACAAGGCCCCTGTGTCAGCAGTCTTTTTACCAACCAGGCCAATGGTTTACCCGAGTGGAGTCCTGCCCGGCTGCTGGCGTTTGGAGAGCCGCACTGGGCCCGCCATGATGTCTGCAGACCATGCGTTCCATTTGCAGGCTGTGTGTCCTGAGTCCAGGGCTCCTCTGGGTCTAGGAGAGTCCTTCTCTTCAAGGGTGTGGTGGACACTGCCCCTCCCACCCTCTCTGCTCATCTCTACTGCCCCATTCTCAGGTGCTGGTCCTTCCTGGGTTCTCCAGAGGGAACTGGCCACAGAGACACTTGCAGCGTCTCACTGGTTGGCTCTAGCCCTCCTCCCACTGCCCTCCAGTGCCCAGTGCCCTGGACATCTCTTTCCTGGTGTCATCTGCTTATGCTCTCCTTGTCCTGGAGAATATAAACCTTTTGGTTTTCTTTCTTTTTTTTTTTTTTTTTAAAGATTTTTATTGGGGAATTGGGGGATGGGAACAGCGCTGGGGAATTGGGGGAAGGGGAACAGACAAGTTGCTGTCGTTTTGTTCTTCAGTCTAGTTGTGGAGGGCGTTGCTTCACTGGCCCAAGTTGGCACCATCATTGCGCTCTTCCCGGGTGAGGCAGATCAGTCGCCGGCTTCTGGATGGCCGCTCACTGCGGCTGCTGGCCGCTCACGCTGGCTGCTGGCTACACACAGTAGCCCATGGCAACCCACTGCCACAGGGGCTGCAGCCTACGCCGTCGCAGGCGACTCATGGCAGCCCAGCTCCAGGTTGAGCTGTTGTTCAGCATCTTAGCTGTAGAGGGCAGTGTCACTGGCCCTCATATGTGGGATCCGAACTGGGGCCCTCTAGCATCCCAAGCCAGTTCTTAACCATCACGCCACTCGGCCGGCCCTTTTTTTTTTTTTAATCATCTTAAGGGCTAGAGGAAGCAGAGGTGACAGTCATCAATCCACCTTTTCTTTCCATCTTTCTCCATCACCCCTTTGAGAAAAGCATCCAAATTCTTACAGATGTGATGTTCATACTTTAATCTAGTTGAGTCGTCTCCTCTCAACCTCCCAGGTCTGGGACATGGAGGGCCCCTGGGGCTGGGAGGGGCCCAAGTCTCCTCAGCCTTTGGGCTATGTCTGCTCCCTCCTTTGAAATGCCCTCTGAGAACCTGAGTTTTCCTTCCCAGATGCCCTTTGGTATAAAAAAGCCCAATCCACAGGTATTTGCAGTTCGAGTTTACAAACAAAGGCATATTTAGCAGATTGTACATACACACAATTTTAATCTGCTGCTGTTTTCCCCCTAACACTGCCAACAGAAATCTAGGGAAACTCAAAATAACTGCTGTAATTTCACTCTTCACAGTGTTTCTGCCCTTTGCATGTGGCCTCGTGGCTGGATTATGGGTTTTAGAGCCACCAGCTCTGGCCTCTGGGTCCTGGCTGTGTGCCTGACCTGGACGGCAATGGCTCTGGGGTCGTGTGTGTTTGAGGACCCTGAGGCACCGGCACAGAGCCGGCCTCAGGAAGGGAGAGAGCAGCAGCGGGACCACCAAGGGCAGGAGGTGGGTCTGGGGTGGATGACACGAAGTATGCGGTTTTGGCACCTGGAGGCCTGCCCACCAGCCTCTACCTGCCTCCCTTTGCGATGATCAGGCATTTCCATAGCCCCCTCTCCTGGTAGGTCTCCTGAGTGGGGGTGGGTATAAACACACAAGCCCCTCACCCACCATTTCTTAGGAAACTTAGCCTTCCCCTGAGGCGGTCACATGCTGGGTGCTTGGGGACTGGGTATGACCTCCCATCCCCATGTCCAGCTGTTCAAAAGTTCCCTGAGTCCCTTGTAGAAGCTCAGGACCAGGTAACAGGCCCCGGGCCGTGGCCCCTCCACAGCGTGGTCTCTGGGGGTGGACAGCTTCCTGTCCCAGGGTTGGCATCAGGAGCTCATGTTTGGGGCCAAAGTTATGGGTGTTTGAGAGCAGCAGTTGGAGAACATGATGGCCTGTCTGACATCCTACATTTCGGGTTTAGCGCCCTGCAGGGAATCAGGTGAAATCCACAGCAAGGTGCTCATATGTCCCACCCAGGGGACATTCAGGGCGCTCGTGGTCCCCATGGGTGAAGATGCCCTTTTTTGTTCCCCTTAGAACATTTCTGGGAAAATAGTTTAAGAAATGTACAAGTTCGATCAGCACTAGAAAGGAAATAGAACTTGATACCTTTGATAAATATAATGTAGAAATTTCAGTGTCATTTTTAATGGCATTTTATTGAATTCTTACCCTGTGCTATGAGGAAGAACTGTTTATATCTATATCTGTCTATCTATCTATCTATCTATCTACCTAAAACCTCATTTAAACTCTGCAATAGCTGCAGATCCCCATTTTATAGGAGAGTAAGGCTCAGCAAGCGTGAGTGGCTTTCTCAGGGTCACACAGCTCTGAGCATCAGGGTGCCACCTGGGAGCCTGGGCTGGTATACGCAGACTCTGTCCAAATGCTCTGAGAGTTTGACGTGCTCCAGGTAAATGACAGCTGATACTGTATCACCATAACTAACAAGATTGTCTCTAGGGTGACTTTGAACAAGTGTTTGCTGAGCACCTGCCCAGTTGGCTAAGGAAGGCGCTCCAAGGGTGTAGCGCCCCAGAGGTGGGGTTTGCAGGACAGCCGGGGCCAGTGCCCACCTGATGCCTAGGCTGCGCGGCCCCCAACATGGCCCACAGGGTTGAAGACCTGTGTCTACTGGTGCCAGGTGCTTGGAGCTGCTACTGCAGAGGACAGTCGCACCTGTGCGCCTCCCCAAAAGAGACCCGAGAGACCCCTGGCCTCTCGTTGTTGCTTCCACCAGGAGTACATTTGAAAATCAAGTATCAAGATGCATGTAGGTGACGTTGTATGCAGAAGTCATGGTGCCGAATTAATATTTCATGAGCCTGCAGTGGAAGATGAGATTATTTCATATCACAGGGAGGAACGGCTTTGCGTTTATTGCCCGAGTACAAAGTACCCTCGCCCCGTCTGCTGGTGGGAAGTTGGCTGGTCAGGCTCCAAAGAGCAGAAGGAGGACTCTGCACACACAGAGTGCAGCCGGCTTGCCCCAGCCCCTTGGTCATAGCGTCCTGCCCGGAACTCCCTCCAGTGGAGACCTGGGCCCCCGGCTGCCAGGTCTTGCTCTTCAGACTGACTTGATGTGCTCATGTTTAAGGAACTTGCCATTGGCTCTTGCCTTCATTTCTCCCTCTTCTGCTGAAGGACTGAGCCTATTTTTTCTTCTCCACAGGCACCTGCACCAGTCCGGGGCCCTGACCATGGAGGCCCTGCAGGACCCTCCGTCGGACCCCATGGAGGGCATGGAAGAGGACATTGCGGACAAGGTAGGACTGGTGGACCCCATGCAGACACCACAGCCCCGATCTCAGGACTTGTGCTGGCGGCTTTGGCCTCAGGGGTGGGCCCGTGTTGGGGTATGTGGGGTGCATTTGGGGCGCCGGGCCTTCTCCTGGCAAGCAGATAGAGCACTGTGAGAAGTGGTGATGGTGCCACCAGGGTTAATGAGGTCCTCTCCCCGCTCCTGCATTTCACGTACATGGAAGAGGGAGCCGAGGGAACGGGAACAGAGCAGTGAGTGCCAGCCGCTATCCGCCTGTGTTTGTATCTGGTCTGCTCAGGGAGCATTGACACTCAGAGACTCAGCTCTCCAGGGCCCCTGGAGGCAGGATATGGGGGCGCTTGAGGTTTCGGGGAGGCGGGCACTCAGCCTGCAGTGATCACATAGTCAAACAACATGCGAAATGGCCTGTTCCCTGAGAAAGGAGTCTGGTGACTGGGTTATGTGGGGCCGGGCAGCCATCTGTGGTGAAGACCCCGAGCTTTTCAAGGACCAGCTCCAGCAAGAGGGGAAAAGGAGGGTGGCAGCACACATCCCTCACCTCCTCCTGTACCCTATCCTGTCCTCCCTCACTTGCTCCTGTCCCCCTTCCCTTCCTCCTGTTCCCCCTCACCTCCTCCTGTACTCCCTTCCCCCCTCCGGTACTCCTTCCTGTCCCCCTCCTCTCCTCTGGGACCTCCTCTCTATAGCAGCTGCAGTACCTGCTCTCAGAGCCGCCTCTGGCGCTCAGGGCTGGCCTTCTCTCCTCCTACCACCTGTGTGATATGTGTCTCCCATCTAGTTAGCTTCCTGAGGAGGCAGAGACCAAACCCCCCAGGCCTTTCTGTCCTTTGAGTCCCCCAGTCCATGCTCCCTCCATGGGTTGGGTCTGGCAGAGAGCAGGTGCCTCTGCCTGTGGGGGACCCGTAGCCTGGCTGCCCCACGCCCCCTCACAAAGGCGCCGTTGGGGCACTTTAGGCCTCTCGGGGTCCCTGCTGACACCTGTGCTTGTGGTTTTGAGGCCATGGAGTGCTCGCTGTCCTTTCAGATGCCCGTGGGGCCACACTCCTCATTTATGGGGACAGTCTCCATGAACAAGATAGACACACCTCCAGCTGAGTGGGCACTGCCTCCTAAATGGTTGGCTTGGGAGTGTGGACTGTCTTGCCTCTTTGATTCTCAAGCCATTGTCTCGCTCCCGAGGTTGTCTTCCTAGAGAAGCGGGTGTCGGAGTTGGAGAAGGACACGGCCGCCAACGGGGAGCAGCATAGCCGGCTGAGGCAGGAGAACCTCCAGCTGGTGCACAGGTGAGCGTGCGTGTGCTCTTCACCTCACAGTGTGGGCGGGCGTGGCTGCTGCATGCAGGCCAGGCTGGCACTCACCTGGAGCTGCCCTCCATCCCGCTGCTGGTGCCAGCCCTGGGGATGGTGCCAGGTGGCCTTTTGACCATGTCTCTGACCTAGCGTAGTCCTCAGCCCATGTAGGGCCCCAGAGGAAAGAGCAAGGGGAGGGCCACCCTCACCCCTCAGGAGCAGCCGAGGCCAGCAGCCAGACCACCCACACAGAGCACCTGGTGGAGGCCTGTCCTTGGGCAGCGGAGGCTTTGCTGGGGTTCCAATGTGGGGCCTCCGGCCTGTGCCCCCATGTCTGACAGCCCGTCCGGAGGACAGAATGCTGATCACAGGCCCTCATTTCTAGAGACGGTCTCCGTGGCTCTGACAGCTGCTATGCTTTTCTTGCTTCTCTCACATCATCTGGTTTCATCTTTATGATCCCTGTGAGGCAGATGCTGCTGCTGTCCCAATTTCACAGATGAGGAGGCCGAGGCTTAGGGAGCTTAGGTGACTGCCCAGGGCTTCAGGGGTGGGGCCAGTGCCTCCAGGGCCCCCCACAGTGGGTGCATAACCCGTCCTGGGAGTGTGCATGCAGGTCCTCGCAGGTGCTTAGCCACAGAAACAGGGAGTGGGAACTGCTGGGTACGTGGCGGGATGTGCCGTCTGACTCTACCAGCGAGAGCGCTGAGGAGGAAACACTGGATGTGCAAAGTGAGGAGTAACTACTGTGTTTGCCCAGGGCGTGGGGCTCTTCCCCACTCCTATTCTGTGACTTTTCATAGAACACTGAGTTTCAGCGTTTTGAAACCAGTCCTGCCATGGAACCTCACACAGTCTGCAGCTCTGTGCTTCTCGTGCAGAGCACCGTGCGCTTGGCCCAGAGGCATCGCTCTGCGGCTGTGCTGCCTGCCTGTGGCTGGTGCTGGGGGTTGGGGGGCGAGGCGGGAGGCAAGCCTGCAAGCCATGAGAGGCAGGAAGCGTGGTGTGAGGGCGATTACACAGGAGGTTGTCCTCGCCAGGCCGCTGAGGCCATGTCTTGGCTCTGATGCACACTCTGTGCCCTCAGGCCAGGGCCCATCCTCACAGGCTCCGTTTCCACACCTGTGACCGGAGCACATGGACTTGAAGCTCTGAACAGCACTGGACAAGGTCCACACATCCTCGCATGGTGTTCACCTCACAGGCTCCGGGACGCTTAGCTCCTTCCATGATGTTTCCATCCTGGATAGTACTGACTTCTGTGGCCTGTTCCCCAGTGTCATTAGGCCCATCTGCTGTTGGGAAGCTGAGAAGTAGAACACGCCATGCTCACTCGTCACTTTAATGGAGTAAAAATAGGTCGTCTTGTGCAGTCGAGACCCCGCCCTCGGGGTTTCACGGAGTGCCAGCCAGGGCTGTGCTTCAGAGCCGGGGGCGGGGGTGCCAGTGCCGCGCTAAGTCTGTGCCGCATTTCCAGAGATGTGTGTCAGTCCCTCTCGCCCTGTCCTTGCCCAGGGAGGTCTGGAGGGGCCACCAGACTCTTTTCTCAAGCCGACTGGTGAGGTTTAGTCTAATCCGATGAGCAGTAACCAGTTACCCACATATGTACTGGGAAGTCTGTGCTCCACCCCACCCCAGGGTCAGCCGCGTCCAGTTCCTGTGGGTGTCTCCTCTGGTGTCGGCCCCACTTCTCCTACACAGCATGTTTCTGCTGCCGTTTCCTGGTGTTTCCCGTGGGTCACACGCTGCCAGCCCCTGCCCTGCCGCCATCCCAGGAATTCCACGTGCGTTGGGTTTTTATTTTCTGGATCCCACATTTTCTTTTTTGCTCATATTCTGAGGAGGACGTCCCTAACCGTTGCTTGGGGAAGGGCGTCTAGGAGCAGGGTCTTTGAGATATTGCATGCCTGAGCCTGTCACCCTCATCTGACAGTGGGGCTAGGGCTGGGATTTGACTCGGAAGTCAGTTACCTTGGAACTCGGTGGCTCTGCTGCCTCTGGCCCGAGCTGCGTCCGGGACACCTGGTGCCGCTGTGTCACCTGTTCTCATCTTGGACACACAAGGGCATCCTGTTGTTTCCTGTGCTGGGCACGTGTTTTCCAGCCTTTAAACCTGGAAAGTATGCCCCTCAGCTTCAGGAAGATTTCTGGAATTATTTCTGTAGACGGTGTCTTTCATTTTCTTACCTGTCTGAACTTCTGTTCAAAATATTAGACCTCCTGGACCTCGCCTGTCATTTTCTTGACTTTCCTATTCTTTCTCTGTGTAATATCCTTAGTTTTCTCCTTCAACTCTTCCATTGAATTTAAAATTTTTCTTCTCTTAGTTTTAATTTCTAAGTTACTTTTTGTCATGTTTCTTCTGGGACATCACCCCCTATGTTGTGGATATGGTATCTTAACTTTCTGTTAGTTAACAGGGCTTCTCCCTCTCTTTCCTGCATGATGTGTGTTTCCTTTGAGGTCCTTGTTTTTCTGTTTGCTTTGGCCACTTTGTATTAAAAGCTTACCTGTGGGGTGGCTGATGATCTTTGGCCATCTGTTTACTCTTAGGTGTGAGGCACCAAGAAACCCTGTGTGTGGGGACGGCTTGTGGGCTCCATGCCACCCGTGGGCAGGGCCTGGAGCCCTTCTCTTTGGGATGGTCAGTTCCTGCGTCCTGCGGGTGGGCGTGGTGGCCTGGGAACAGGCCAGGGTCAGGGCCCCTATGTAAACATCCCCTTTGTCCCTGTGTTCTTGCTGACACCTGCCCTTACCTCCGCCATGGGTGACTTGGGTGGGGCTGGTCTGTACCAGGCCCCCAGCCTGGAGTGTCCTTGCAAGGTACCTCGGGGGCGCTGGTGGGCTTGTGTCCATTGGAGGGTCTCCTGTCCACACATCACCCTCTATGCTGGGCAGAGACTGTGGGGCGGGTGCGCGCCCATCTCCTGCTTCAGAACCGCCTTTGACCAGAGCTGTGGGTGGGAAGTCTCGGCCTTCCTGTCCTTCTCCAGAGAGGGGCAGCCCTCTCGGGGTCCTGATGCAGTGTCCAGGCCCCGCAGAACGGTAGAAAGTCACTCCCCTCCTCCCATGGCATTCACAGAGCCAATGCCCTCGAGGAGCAGCTGAAGGAGCAGGAGCTGCGAGCCTGCGAGATGGTCCTGGAAGAGACGCGGAGGCAGAAGGAACTCCTGTGCAAGATGGAGAGAGAGAAGAGCATCGAGATCGAGAACCTACAGGCCAGGTAGGCAAGGCCGCCGCAACCCCTGAACAGTCGATGAGAAAATGCGGTGGGTGCTGTCGTGAACAATGCCCCCTACCCAGGAAGGTGCCATGTCTAGCTAGGAACAAGCTGGATTTTAGAAAAAGTGGAAAAAACTGTAAAACTCCACCAAAGACCACAAAAGTCCTGAATTCAAAGACTGATTCGACATGGATGTCTCTGAATCTATCTCTAGTCAGTGTTCTCTGTCAAAATATCAATCTTTTTTAAAGACAACTTGACAAAATTACCTTTATGCTCCTCTGGAGGCATAAGCCTTAGATGAGTCAGGAAAGGTGGGGAACAGAGAAAGGGGGGGACACGCTGTGTATAAACTTACATTGCAGGCACAGGCAGTGCAGCAGCCCCTTGCTGCTCCAGGACAGCCGTGCCCTGTCCAGGCACTTAGACTGGAAGCATGTGGCACACGCTTACAATTACACATGCGAGCAGTGGTTCTCTTAAATTGCTGTTTGTCAAAGAAAACCCACGGATGACATCAACATCCTTTTGCAGAGAAATGGTGAAAAAGGGCATCTTAGATTTCCCTCTCATTCTCACTCCCAAAGCTCTTCCCTGAGTGGGTAGTGAGGGTGGGGGGTATTTCATAGAATTTTGTGGGGATTTTTTTACTTAGTACCACTTTTAGAATTCAAAATACAGTAGTTTTAAATATTCATGAAAGAGGACTCAACGTTCTTTAGCTTGTGTCCCTCTCCTGGTCTGCAGCTCCCTGGGAGTGTGGGGGGCAGAGGAGGCCTGTGGAGGGCTACTGAGGCCCCTGCAGCCCTGGGTCGGCACCCTGGGGTCAGCCAATTGTGGTGTACCCTCCTCAGTAAGGGGAATTGCAGAGTGACAGGATGGTGAGGACAGCTGGCTTATGGAAAGGAGCCACGGCTCCCTGGAAAGTGGGGCTGAGTCTGTAGCCGGGACAGAGCAAAACCCACCGGAGCCTAAAGCACCTTGTGTGCCAGACAGCAGGGAAGTGCTCGGACAAGCACACACAGTGACAGGGCAGGTCCCAGGGATGCGGGCCAGTGGAGGGTCAAAGTCAAAGCTGGAACAATTTGAGCAGCACACTAATAACGATACTGCTGGACCACGACCCACAGTATAACTAAGTGTGATGATAAATAAATGGGGAGAAGACACAAATCTTCCTCGCAGAGGAATTCCAAATGATACATGGAGACGCCCCCTCGAGGGGGTGGCATTGAGTCCTCCCCTCCCCTGGAGCGTGGGCTGGACTCGGTGACCAGCTTCCAGAGGACAGAGAATGGATGGGAAAAGTAGAACTTGAAGGAGAGCACACCTGGCACACACACCTTGACCAGGTGATCAGGTCAGCATCAGCCATGATGATGGGGCACCTCACCTCTGTGGGTTTCTTCCCAAACCCATAACCCATCTAATCATGAGGAAACACTAGACATACCCAATCTGAGGGACATTCTACCAAATATTTAACCAGAACTTCTCAAAACTGTCAAGGTCATGAAAACCCAGGCGAGTCTGGGAGACTGCCCCAGAGCACAGGGGGCAAAGCAGACTCCTCAGTGCAATGTCCTAGGAGGGATCCTGGATGGAGAGGGGCACTGGTGGGAAAGCTAATCGCGCCCATGCTTCGGTGACCAGAATGTCCCAGCACGGGTGTGTGGGCTGTGATGAGCATGCTGCGGTGATGAGCAGATGCCACCAGGGGACGCTGAGAGGGCATGAGGCCCACAGGGACTGTGCACTGTGTTGTAGCTGCTGTCAGTCTGAAATTATCTCCAAACCCAAACTGTATTTAACAACCGTCCTGGCCTGTGAGAAAGCTTCGACTTAGAGCATGTGTGTGGATGCCTAAGGGCTGGGCCGTGGTGTTGTGGGGTAGCCTCTGTGGTCCTTGGGCAGCTCTTAGCGAGGTTTCCGAGACGCTTGGCCTAAAGGGCGGATTCCTAGGGAGTGGGTCCCAGCCTCGTTCTGTGTACCAGGCTACAGCAGCTGGATGAGGAGAACGGTGAGCTGAGGTCCTGCATGCCCTGTCTGAAGGCCAACATCGAACGCCTGGAGGAGGTAAGCTGCCAGCCGGAGCACCGGGCGGGCAGGGCCAGGCTCTGCACTGTGTGGGCACCGAGGTCAGCTGGAACGGCCTACAGCTTTCCTGCACCCTCTGCACCTGATGCTTGCTGGGGGTCCAGGTTGTTTAAAGCGGGGCAGCTGTGAAGCCAGCCAATGGCTGCACCGCAGGCTGGGACACTGTGCAGGCTGGGGATGCCAGGCCCTCCTGGGCCTGTGCATCAGGGAACAAGCTCAGCTCAGGCTGCCGTCCGTTTGCTGGAAGATGCTGGACCCTGTCTGGCTTCCCAAATTTCCCACAGACGCAGGATCCTTGGGCACAGAGGTTCACGCTTAGATTGGCCCGTGGTCTGAATCCAGGGATGGTGTCTGTGAGGGGACAACTTCAGCTGGACCCCTCATGCTCCATGGTGTAGATGTTCAGAGAGGCCTCCTCCCCTGCCCTCCCCTTGCTGCCCAGTGTCCCCGGGAAGCGCTGAGCTCTGACGTATCCTGGCTGCCATAAGCAGCTCCCGCTGAGTGGCCGAGTTAGGCCCTGCTCTTGCCTCCCCGTAGAAACAGTCCCTGTGGGCGGGGATGGGGTGGGGACACCCGCACCAAGAGCCCCAAGGCCCACGTGCCTCGTGCGCTGCGCTCAGGTCGCTGCAGGTCCTGAGAGCACATTCCTGTGTGTGCGCCTGGGTCCTGAGGGGAAGGCTTAAACGCAGCTCCATGGGGTCGGTGGACTGAGAGACGGTTGGGACATGTGCGGCTGCGGAAAGCCGAGTGAAGGGTGGCAGGCGAGTGTGTTCACAGCAAGTGTTTCACTCTCGTAGGAGAAGCAGAAGCTGCTGGATGAGATTGAAGAGCTGTCGCTGCGGCTCAGCGACGAGCAGGAAAACAGGAGGAAGCTGGGGGACAGACTGAGTCATGAGAGGCACCAGTTCCAGAGGGACAAGGAGGCGACCCAGGAGGTGAGCACAGGCCTAGGGGACCCGGCCATCACTCAGCCAGCCCCCAGCATCCCCGGGGCCCATCTGGAGTGCGCTGTGGCTTTTAACTGCCACGCTGGGCAGAGGTGCTGGGTGCGTGGTGATGTCTGGGAAGGGCCTTCAGCCCAGTGCAGGGGCTCTGAAACCCGGGACTGGCTGACACCACCGGCCCGGGGCTCCCACAGCTCATCGAGGACCTGCGCAAGCAGCTGGAGCACCTGCAGCTCTTCAAGCTGGAGGCCGAGCAGAGGCGGGGCCGCAGCAGCAGCGTGGGTCTGCAGGAGTATCACAGCCGCACCCGGGAGAGTGAGCTGGAGCAGGAGGTCCGCAGGCTGAAACAGGTGCAGCTGGGACACCCTGCACCCCACATGGGGCAGGGGGGCACGTGGGGGCCACAGCCGGGAGTCACACACTGTCCTGTCACCCACCTCAGGATAACCGTAACCTGAAGGAGCAGAACGACGAGCTCAACGGCCAGATCATAAACCTGAGCATCCAGGGCGCCAAGAACCTCTTCTCCACATCCTTTTCCGAGTCCCTGGCTGCAGAGATCAGCTCCGTCTCGCGTGATGAGGTAAGGGGGTGGGCCCGCCACCCCCAGCCCCCAGCCTCCAAGGTGTCTGCCATCTGTGTGCCCCGTGCCCACCCGTGCTCCCCCCACAGCTCATGGAAGCCATCCAGAAGCAGGAAGAGATCAACTTGCGTCTGCAGGACTACATTGACAGGATCGTTGTGGCCATCATGGAGACCAACCCGTCCATCCTGGAGGTCAAGTAGAGGCAGGAAGGCCCAGCCCAGGCTGATGCCGGACCCCACCAACGCCCGGAGAGGCACACACAGGCCGAGACCAGCAGGTCCTGTGCCCAGAGCCTGGAGCACACGGCTGGGCTGGGCTGGGCTGGGGCTCCTACAAGTGGGGCCGTGGAGGAGGAGAAGGAAAGGGGAGCCCCAGGACTGGGGCCTCCAGCAGGGGCTGAGCCTGCTTGCAGCTCTGGCCTTCCCCTGGTCCCCTCCTCTCTGCAGAGATGTGGGGACAGTGTCTCAGGCTGGGGTGAGCCCCTCCATGAGCTCCCTTCCGAGTGCAGACCACCTGCTGTCCTACCTTATCAGGGAAGAAAGGAAACGGGTCCCTGCCCGGGGTGCTGCCACCCATGCCTGCACAGGCACCAACCTGGTACCACCCAAGTTTCAGCCACTCCTGGACAGCGAAAAGGCCCCAGGACCCCCATGTGGTGTGGGAAAGACAGGCGGTGTAGCTGGTGTGTGTCAGGTCTGACCAGGAGCTGTAGGGCCTCCGTGCAATTTCCTGGGGCCGTCTCCCAGCCAGAAGGGGCGTTTCCATCCAACTTCAGGCCCAGGGGCCCCTGGCCATGCAGCTGTTCCCACAGTTGGACCCTCGCTGCAGTAACCCTTGAGGGCTCTGACCCTCCCATGGGGGCTTGGGGCAGGAGCCTGTGCTCTGAAGTCAGGACATGAGAGTAACTGTGTGGAACGTTCTGTCTGGACAGGCTGGACATTGCCAGCCCCTTCTGACTGCAGGGGTGCAGGCAGGGCGTGGCGAGGTGCTGCTGCCCCGTGGGTGTGGCATTCCTGGCCTACAGGAGTCCCCCCCTCCTGTGTGGATCTTGGTTGCCCCAGTGAAGTCCCCGTTTCCCAGGTCAGAGTCCGAATGTGTCCTCTGGGAGTCCAAAGTCATTAAAAGTTGTCATTCTTCCCCAGGTGCAGTCTGCAGGAGGCAGGGCAGGGCAGGCTCCAAGGACGCAGGTCAGGAGCAGAGAACAGGCCTTCCCAGCGGCTTGGGAGTTCTTTGAAGGAGGCCCTTGCCCGGCTTTGCACTGCAGCTCCCCGGTGCCTGTGCTGGCAGGAACAGCAGTGTCACCCCCACGGGGATGCTGGGCCTGCCCCCTACCCCCCCCCCAG